ACTTGAAATCCTGCATCCAGACTCCGTTCTGTGATCGGGGTGTGTCTGAGAGCCAAACAAAAGGCTGAACAAACGCTCCGCGGTGCCTGGACTCGCCGCCGCACGCATGGAGAGAAGGGCGGAGGCCGACTATTGTGAGTCAGACAGACCTGTGGGTGCAGGTAACGGCAACACCTGGGAGCACGTCCAGATGTGCCGGGCTCACGTCTGACATGGTATTGTGTGTGCAGATGAACCAGCTTGAACGAGGTGGGCGTGTCACCGAGGTGGGCGTGTCCGTATGTTATCGTTCATGCAGAAACTGCTCCATGTTCGCTTCATGAATGAAACCTGTTGCAGGCACAAACGCCTAGAATAAACGGAGCTCCGCCTTTCTGGAACGTCACGGCTCCGATCGGCTTCTTTCACATTCCAACTGCGACCAAACGAACACACGCCACGCCCTCGACCTGCGGGCGACTGCAGCGGCGACCCGGTGGGACCCGGCCGGCCCCCCGACCATCGCAGACAGACAGGGCTGATGGGAGCTGCTCGTCTGTGGGACTCCTGCATCATTCTGCTCACATCTGCGAGGTTCGGTCTGAATATCGATGACATGGATCCTACTTCCACAAACAGACTGAGCCTGACTGACCGCAGACGGTCTTGCTGCTGTTTTAACTCTAAAGATGAAAGCTCTCTTTGTGAGAACAGCAACTCGCCGCGTTCACATCTGTTTACAACAAACGCCTCTAAAAAGCACAGGCTGAATGTGAGCACGAGGAAACTCTGTGACTGCTTTCTGACTTTGTGATGAAGTCACGAGCGGCGCACGTCGAAGCATCCTCCCCCACATGCGCTCGGCAGAGGCCGACGCTCGGGGCCACGCGTCCTGTGTAAAGACAGCAGCAGAAACATTACAGGCGCTCTGCAGCGAGCCGAGAAAGACCCGAAGAAGAGAGGACGCTTTGAGTGCAGCGCTGCTCTCCTTTCTATCTGTTGCGTAATGCGAGCGATGGCATTCATGTGGGTAGGACACGGCGCCGAGGGCAACTCCAAGAGTAATGGATGGATCGCTGAGAGAGGCAGCAGAGAGCAGGAGGAGGAGGAGGAGTCAGGAGCGAGGGTCGAGCGTGTCGGTGTGCCGTGGACATCGCTCGCCTGAACGGGCTGAAGGCTGCTAACGAGCTGCAGACACGTTGTTATTAGCAGAGGATTAAAGGGCGAGCAGGGCGAGGAGGAGGAGCTCACTCCTTTCTTACCAGTGAACATGGAGCTGGGCGCCGCTTTGGGACACAAATGTTTCACACGCTGGAATGGCTCCTCCTCACTTTACGTCCACAAACATCTGGAACGCCGCCTCCGTGGGCTTCACGTATCCAGACGTGTCGAAGTCCAGACTTTTACTTAGATTCAAACCAAATCTTTATTAAATCATGAAGAACGCTTCTTTAACCAAGTCGCCTCTTTATAGAGGCTCAAACGTACGCGGACGAACCAACATGACGCCAGACTCCAGCATCACATCTGTGAGGCGTAAACTTTCTCTGGACCTCCTCACAATAACATCAATGCAGATAAATGATAACTGAGGTGTTTCAGTAACACCAACCTCAAAGTTCAGATCAGTAACGTTCAATATTTAATGTTTTCAGCATTTTATGAAGCAGATTTGATGCTTTTGTTTTCTATTTTTCCCATAAAAATCTGAACAAAGTAAACAGTTTTTTATTGTGCTCCCTGTGGCAGAGCGAGGGCCTCCCTGACCTGCCCTCTCATCACCGAGCAGGAGGGCCACAGACACAGAGAGGCCCCGACCTCCCTCTGCTGGTGCTGCTGGCACGCACACGCACGCACACACACACACAAACACACACACACACACACAAACACACACACGCACACACAC